CAAAAAGTTAAAGGGACATACCAGCACTGAGAGCATTACTGCTATTTAATAAATGCAAATAGCACAGAGAAACTATGATTTAAATAATATTGCAACGATGGCATAATAGGGCCACACAATAGGTAATAACTTTTCCAATTTGTTAAACAATGCTTGAAGTGTTCAAAAGTAAGGAATAGACCCTCAATGGTTATAATTTATGTTAATAATAGTCATCAAGGCCTGTGAATGAGAGCATTTACAGCATTCATCTTGGACAAAGGGAGGGTACATTTCCATAGACCTATTGATTGCCCCAGTCACCGGAAATACGCCAAGAGGCATCGATCTCTAATTAATTGCCGTTTATCCCTATCGGATAAACTTCATAATTTGAATTTACTAAATTTAATCCCAATAGAAATGTGAAAACTTGATAGAACCCAAAACATGAACATTTCGATAATAAACGCTTCACACAATTGTATTACCAACGGGAAGTTAGACAGCATAACTCAATAGATTTGGGAAAAGGCTCTCTCTCCCCCTCTAAGTGGGTCAAATAAACGTTATAGAGGCAGTGACCAATAAAACTACTCAACAGAGGGCCTTGTAAGAAACTAAGACCAATTAGAACACTAGCTCCAGAAAATTCTAACATTGTAAGGCATTGCATCGCGGCATTACAACGATGTATGCCGTATTCACTAACTGGTCAAGTTGATGAAAGTATAAAGATAGAAATCATTGCTTGATGAATACAGGACGCAAACCTAGGACTAAAATCTGGAAAATTGTGAACTTTTGGGCATGTTTTATTTCGAGCCGCAATCCGTTTTTCACAAGCGCCTACGAAAGTTTCCAGGATAAACAGAGCCAGCCAAGCTTTGAACGATAAATAGGAGGTGGAGAACGTAGGCGGCTACACATAATCACCAACCAAGAGTAGGTAAGAGAGGCATAATAGTAAACATGCTTGAAATTTGTCCAATAAAGCAAACGAGGTAGTAATGGCAATGACGACGTCATAAAAATGAAATGCAAGCCAACTACAACAACATGGTGTGTCCAGGGGAATCTGATACGAGAGGCGTTTAAAAATGAGGGCTCACTACCCAGAGTTTGACTGATGAGAATTTAATGTCAAGAGTACCACGTGAATCAACGAAAAATCCAATGAAAGGAAGCAAAGAATAATACTTAAGTTAAAGTTTAGAAAGAGTAATCGTGGGTGTTGATAATTAATAACTCAGTAATATTTTGCCCCGTGTTAACCACATTATGCCTAAATTATATTTTTTTTGAAGAAACTCTGGCGACCAACGTGCTCCCCAATACCGGCTTCCAATTTTTCCGATACTTCGATATTAGAACTATAAACAGTAATTAAATTTACGTAATAGCTGTGATAGCAGAAACCCAAGCAAATAACAATGATCAACACAGTAGAAATAGAAATAATTAAAAGAGGAGGTAAAAAAACACGGAGAGCTAAATCTATGGTCTCTTCAAGAATCATTATTGAAGAAGCGTGTAAAAGCACAGTTAACTTGATATGAATACCTTCGAGGAGGGGGAACTATAGAAACACGAACAAGCAGAGGATACAACCAGTTACTTGATTTCGACAACTACTATCATGAGTTCGCTGAGTAATGCGCCTATAGATTTAAAGTGGCAGCAATATTGGGGCACAGGCCTTTATGAAAACGAATTGATTCAACACAATTTTCATCAATGAGGGGGGGGGGGCTTTGAGACCACCATGTATGCATATCTTTCCAAGCGAAGACTGGCCAAAGTAACTGCTTTCTCGTAAAAGTACAACTACTCTCAAACAACTTTGTTCTTTTTTAGAGCACATTCTCCTGCCCTTCTCAAAGATTTAATAACAAAATTCTATTCACTACAAGGCCAAATAGAAACACTTTTCGATTTCATTTGTCCTAGTAAAGTATTAAAATCTTGGCTAAAATTTAAAATTTCATCAGAATCTCATATTACTCCGTCTCACGCTAGCCGAGATATATAAGTTGAAGAAAAAAATTAATAACTTACGCATCTGGATCCTTGGATGTCACCGAGAGAGTATAGGTGTTCTTCTTACTCACCGAATCTCGAACTAAGAAGCATCCCTCTCGATTTTCTTCTAGAAGAATCGCTTCGGCTTGCTGACGAGTAATATCCTTGTAGTACCAGCTAAAGAGATGAGAATAGCGCAAAATTAGTTACTAATCCCAGATTGGGTGAAATAGAGGTTGAAAAAAAGTGTTCAAAAGAACCAACAAATTCAAAGTGGATAGAGATATTTAGGAAAAAGAATTGGGAGTAGTAGCAGAGTTGTGCGTGTCAATAGGGGGAGAAAATAAAGGGCTCCCAGGGGTAAATAGTGATGAATTGGGTGAATATCCAGGCAAATCCCTTTTCAACGTGCGAAATTCTCTCCCTTTCTCGCTCTCTCGACCAAAGAAGGGTGAGAAAAGTGGCTATTTGTTAGAACGTGAAAGGCATCTCCACGTCACACTACCAACCTACCCACATAGATAGAACCTGGGGAGAGAGAGCAAATTAGTGGGGGGAAAAGGTGAAACTGGCTTCTAATTATTTCGTGAAATAAAAAGGCCAATTTATGGCGATGGAATCTAGGTGCTTAGCTGTGGAAACATTGCCATCAAACACAAACAGTTGAAGATTAATCCAGATTGAATACATGGATAATGAAGCTTCTAAGCCCTTCAATTGTTCAAGAGTTGGAGAAATAAAGTTACTAGTAATTCTTGAACCCGCCTAGAAAAACGTATTCCAACACTCGTCTTGGATAGAAAGGCATCGAAGAGCCTCCCCGGTGAGACTTGAATTCCACTTTTGCTTCAACTTCGTTATTATTAAACAGTTTAGTTGGCAATTCGGCTCACTGGGCGTGTGCAGATGAATAAAGAACCAGTGATTACTAATGTGGCAAACAATCACGGAGATCAATGTATTATCTGCATCAATATGTCATTATTCTCTCATCAAGCTTAATATTGGGGGAAATAAAGCCGTACACCAATTCAATACTTATTTCAATCATCATAAATAGAAACAGCAACAAGTAGTAGTTGTTAAGAGGGGGGGGGTGAGGGGAGGGTGGAAATAATGGATAATGGTGAGGGAGGGAGAAAAGATATTTCACACTCCACATACTAACGTAATTACCAAATGGGAATTGTATATTAACCAGCCTACGTATTTCCTTCAGTTAGTGCAAATAGAACGAGAAGGAGGTTGCTACAACAATTGGTAATAAAAAACTGCACCCAAAGAACTGCTAGTGGTCACAAAATACGCAAGAACCTGTGGAAATTACTCACCAATGGTTTATATGACATAGTTGAGAGAAATTATGAATATAACCCTACTAGGTCCACACATTCTATGAAATCATTTGCACAAGCAAGACAGCACGAAGGTGGATAGGACAGAGTAAGCGGCCTCATCGCTGTTAAAGGAAAAGAGGTGTGCGAGAGACTTACCTCCACGTGGTGCTCCCTGGGCAACGTATACTACGCCCTGGGCAACGTATACTCAAACGGCAAAAAAGTCTATTAATCGGCAGTTGACTTCAAACTACCATAACCCCATTGTATCTCATATTTGAATACTTCCACAGGACTCACATCACCTTTTCTCTACCTTTGTGTCTGTCTGTCTCTTTTACATCTTTGACACACTCTTCTATTTCACCCTCCCCCCTCTCGACATTTCAATTTGATGTTCCTTCCCCTCTGTGGAGCCTGAAGTCAACTAAAGGGCTAATGGTAACTACCAAAACGTCTGCCATTTGATATAAATAAATAAATGTTAAAGGAAAATTATTCAACCCTCTAGAAAGCATCATTCTTACTATTTTACACCTACTTGTGAAAGATATTTCCCTATTCCAAATGCATTATAGTTAACATATAAACTTGGTGCTAAAAGAACCCCGAGAGCACATATAATATGTATATAGAATATGCTAATTCAGTTTGTTCTAACATTTTGACCAGAGATGATTCATCCAAAACAAAGTTACCCAAAGAACGTTCTCTATTGTGGTTTACTATTTGTTTAGTTGCACAAATGATTTGATGTTAATGTCATATTATTGGCAACATTACGATTTGAAATTCGCTTAAACATTGGTTAAAAGCCCCTGCACCTAGCGCACATATGGGTGGCTCAAAATAAACAGAGTAATCCTCCAGTGACCTGATAACGAAAATCTTAATTCGCTTAGAAAATTTACCCACTCCTATGGGACGCTATTGCACGTAAAACGCTCTATTCAACGGGCACTAATTAAAGGTCAATCAAGTAAGTTTTAATTTCGAATTTGGACCTTTGTAAGTCAGATTTACCTACATGCGATGCACATGCGACCCATTAAATAGACATACATGGCAAAGGGCATTAACAGGCTTCCCACCCCCCCCCCCAGCCCGTCCTCCCTAAACTATTAATAAAGATAAGAGAAAAAAGAACAACTTTACTCACTGAATACAGGCAAGAGAGGGGGGGGGGGGTGAGAATGGGGAGATGCAATTTTATTAGCAAACCTATACACCACAACCTTCACAAAATACCACGATAAACCGCGAAAGACGAGAAAACTTTTTGACATAAAGGAAACTTTGCCTAAAGTATTCTCCTGAAGCAATAATCAGGTGAGATATTGATGGGTAAAGAGATCCTCCTTTTGAACATAAGGCAATGGGAGGGTACAATCAATCATTTTGGACTCCAACTCCTTTCTCTAATAGAGCGTCATACACAAGCAAAACAAAAGTGGAATGCTTGTCGATTACGGAAGGTGAAGTAAAACATGATGGTTTTGATAATGCTTCCTAGTAAGGAGGGGGCTAGTGAGGCATTATTGATTCACATGAAGGGGGAATGGGAGAGATGACAACTAACCAAGTAACAACGTAGCCTCCTTCTTCCACCTGACTATTGTGTTTGAATTAATAGAAGAACATATCCTTACCAAAGTACATACTTTAAGCAAAGAGAAGAACTTGCATATGTGTATCGCTCATGCTGAGTATTGAATAATATTTGTCTACAAAAATTCGATGAGCATGTTTTCAAAATCGGATATCATTAGATCACCCCCCCCCCATTGATGTAGATGTCCACAAGTGCTGATTAATAATGGCCAGCAAAAAGGTGGCAATGCGAGTTTTCTGTAAGAGCGATTCCAGTGAATCTTCTCTTTATCCATATTAAATGTTGTCAACACTATCCCTTGGTGGAGTTCAGACTTTTCGAGCCCTAGGCTTGAGACTAAGTTATGGTCTGTGCAAAAAATTTCAATCAATATTCCATTTGCACCGTTCTGATAATTAAGTTGGACATTTAAGCAAATTCTGTATAAAAAAGGCTAGAATATTTTAAAGCACTAAAACTCTTGGCACATCTGGTCTTAGTTATATTGGTGAGGTCAACGAATGATTAATGGGAGCTGTGACCCATATGAAACCACAGCAAATGGCTAAACAACACACACACACACACGTCAAAACTGAAGTCATTTGCATAAATGAATAAAAAGCGATAATTATAGTAATTAAAATATCGAATTCAACGAATAATAAACGGAACTGTGACCTTTACAAAACACAATTAGATCTGCATTAACGTTAAATTGTATTTATTACTCTCCACTTGGACGTGATAACACACACTGCCGATAAGAGAATAATCAAGCCTTATAGTAAAAAGAATGAAAGTGACAAAGAAGTAGAAGTGGATACTTACTCGAAGGAATTGAGGGTATTGGGTTTGTGAATGTAGTTAGTTGGTACATAGCCAGATTGGCCAGCCATGTTTCGCACGTACCACCATTGGGCATTGCTGTCGTTCACCACATAGTACTTCTCACCCTTTTGTAGAGGCAGTTGGTTCTCCCGCACCGGATTGTAGTTGTGCACAGCTATCACCGTCTTCTCATTCTCCTCCTAGGATGAGGGAAAATGTATCCGAGGTTATTGCATTGAATATGAACCCAAAGATGGGGGGGGGTGTAAAAGAACGTGTTTTCTAACTCTATACTCGGGAATGCGAAAGAACTGAAGGGCCATTAATATTTAAACAATGTGTAGGCTATTTGTACTCTCATTACTAACGACAATTCCAATTCAAACGCAAATCAACTCCAAGTACTACCAGGAATAGACACGCAGGGCATGGCATTGTGGTTTAAGAGTAGATAAATACTCCATGTGAACAGATGGATTATTATTATTATTATTATTTCAAATGGCCGGCGTTTAGATAGTTATCATTAGCCCTTTAGCTGACTTCGGGCTTCATAGAGAGAAGAAGAAACATTAAAGTGACAAAAAGGCGAGAGGAGAGAAGAAGAAACATTAAAGTGACAAAAAGGCGAGAGGGGAACAGAAAAATGATTTACAGATTTACAGGAGACAGACAGATACAAAGGCAGAGAAAAGGTAAGATAAGTACTGTGAAAGGGGTCGAATATGACATGCAGTCAGCCATGTAGGTTTGAAGTCAGAAGTCAACAGTCGTTTAAGAGACTTTTTTGCCGTATGAGTATACGTTGCCCAGGATACACCACGTGGAGGTAAGTCTATCACACACCCTGGATTATTATTATTATTAGCCGCAATTTACAAGATAAGTCTTGACAGCAAAAAAAAATAAGAAAAAAATTTCATAAACGTGTTCCTTATAAGGTGTGATCTGAATGTGGAGTGAAGATGCTGACCTGACACCTGATATATTCTTTTGAACTCCATCATTTAAAATTAACAGATAAAATCTAAGCAAGTGTGCTATAATAAAAGCGAAAATTGTTTTTCCTAAAAACTAAAACATCAAATTCTTTAAGAAATTAAGAGGGAAAATCTGGATAACTAGCTACCACATTATTCCATAAACTAGGATGTATACTTAGACGGCAACCTGTTTGGTGGTTACCAGAAAAGAGCTTAGACGAAATGAGTAAGTAGAAATCTCTCTCCTGATTTTCGTTCCTACTGTCAACATTCCCACTTAAGCTTGGAAAATAAATATCTTATCCCACCCCCTCCCCCCATCTCCTACGTTTTTAGATATTTTCCCAAAACAAAAGTGTCAAAGCAGTAATTTTGCCGTGGAAAATAAAGCCAAACAAATCAATGAATCAAAAAGCTAACAAGGAATGGCGTCTTGAGAAAAATAAATAAAAATTAAGATGTTTCAAATCGCTTCTCTACCTACCCCAGTGTTTAATTTCTAGGCCAAATCTAAGCTAGAATTTGCTTAAAACAGCATTAATTGAGCAATATATTAAATAGATTAAACCATTTTCAGCTGGAGGGAGAGACCAGTACCAAATTTAAAAGCAAAGGGAAATGATTCGTGGAAATTCCATCTCCATAACCCCTTGAATAAACAAACGACCCTCTGTAGAACCGTGGCCACTCCTAATATGTGATTACGATGATGGGATAGTTTTGATCCCACTATCTTGCTCCCTAATTTAGTCTATTGTAGTTAAGGTGAATAAAATTGTGATGGTACGATTATGCTGCTGTGGGTGCGTGTGCTGGCAATATGCGGTTAAATTAATAAGAATAACGGGAAAAAAACTTAAACGCGACAGAAATCTGTAAATGCTAAACAGAACGAAAATAAAAATAAGTGGTCCATTTAAACATTACTGTTCGAACTTAAAATTTTAAATATATTCCAAAAAACGATCAGAAAATGCAATGATGAATGTCTACTTTGTCGAAATCAAATTCAAAATAACCAATTGGAATGCGCGAAATAAGCGACGAGAAATCGAATCAATTCAAGGTTACCAATTTCTGAAGCTCAACAGCACTGCATTCACATAATATTCAAATTCTACCAAAATCAGTAACCGAAATTTTGCACCATTTATTGCTTAAAATAAAAATTAAGTAAAATTCTCCATAAAAATGAGTTCAGTAAGATTCTTTTGGGAGATTGTTACGCGGAAAAAGAGATCAGATTTAGAAAGAGTAAAAAGACCAATGGAAAACTATCTTTACTTCCTTCTTCCAAAACAAATCAATACGAAATGAAAGTAAACATCTACGAGAAAATATCAATACACCATCGAAACAAGGCATATACTACCGCTTACACGAAAATAAGTGGCTGCCTACATGGCGAGGAGAGAGGGAAACCAGAAAACTAACAAAAGCCCCTTCTCCTTCATTCGTAAAGAAACGCACCACCCAACAGATACATTTGCACTTTATTTCAGAGTTCGCATTATAATCTGAGAGTCACATATTTGTCGCGGAATTAGTAGACACATACTTGTATCAGAAAGGGAATATCACAAGAGATGACACAACACGATAGTTATCAACGAAGATAATCCCCCAACAAGATTCCAATAAAAAACTGATCTATTCAGTACTGCAAGGAATTAGGTTACGCATATCCCGTGGAAATTAATTTGTTTACGACGTAAATAGTTAATCTGAAGTAAGGCCGAGTGCGTCATCATTCGCAAGAGGAAAGAATTTCGGAGTAAAAGTGGCACATTTACTGCCAGCTAATAACGAACACCTCCGCCCTTGGCAACTCTTACGACGGTTCAATAGAGGATTTAATTTGGCTTGGTAAAAGGGCAGGAACATAGAAGTAACACGAACTAACTTTACGCATATCAAAAGACTAGACGGTGGCCAAATCGACTTCGATTCTTGCAGTCTTACAGTTACGAGTACGTGCTCGGAACTAGTAGTATATGATGGACCAACTGATTATTTGAAAAGACTTTAATGATAATGCTTTTGGTTATTCCAAATCCAGATTAAACCGCTTCGCGCGAATAAATGGGTTTGAAAATGAGAAGTAAAGCATAGCACAGACATTTTAACCTAGCTCAACATTCCGTTATGCAATCTGTATAACAATGTCCACAAATTGCGATTCTCAAACATCTTCAGTCGATGTTCCAGGGTCTAAGTTGAACCGATCCCTACTGGAGATAAAAAGTAAATCTTTATATTTTAGACAGAAATATTCATTTATTCACTTACACTATTTGAAACTGGTATTATTTCAATTGACTGAAATTTATCTCTGAAGGTGAGGACATTAAATGTCGGCCCATTAAGAATGGAGGTCGACATTTGCATTTCACAAGAAAAGTTCCATCTAATCTGGTGAAAATAAAAAGCAGTGAATAAACGAAATTGGTCGGAATGAAATATTAGATGGAGACGTCACTTCAATGGAAGCAACATTGGAAACTCCACATCCCTCTAACCAACTCATATTTCAACACAAACTTTAACCAGTGATTTTGATCAAATTAACATTTGAAACTAGAAGACTTATCTGAGGGTATATAGTCACTTCTCATCAAATATATATATATATATATATATATATCTTCTCGCGAACTGAGAATAGATAACTATGCAATAGCAAATTAATAAGATCGCAAAACCATGGCCAATTAAAAGAAGAACGAGGGAGAACTCATCTCCCCTGAACAGGTAGTCAGAAGAAGAAAAACACGGAATGTCATTAGACAAGTAGATGAGAGGAGAATAAGAGAAAAGCAACTGTATAATAATCGTTATCACACTGATAAAAAAGTGACTAGTGGAGTAGTCACTGATGTACGCCCTACTTCCATCTCCCCGCAATCTCCGCACAAAAGTTCTAGCAAGTGCCTTAGTAAAAGAGAACAGAGGCTAGACAAACGTCCATAAATGATACAGGAGAGATCATACAAAAGATTATCCTATTTAATAAAATTAGTTCTAAGTAACATTAAACGATTGAGCGGTGGATTACTTAGATGGAAATGGTTCCAAACATGCAATGTTGCAAAAATTGGTCAAAACTGATTTCCAATTCAAAAAGGTTTCTAAATTAAGGCGTCTCCTTTCTAGGAAAAGCGGCATATTTTTTCCCGTTGACCCACTGTCTTGGAAGGAGGACAAAGTCCAGATATAGCACATTAATGGCATTAATGACATGGCACAAACGGTACCAAAAGCCAGGCGCGCAAGATTATACGTCACTTGGTTCATTCAAATTCTTGTTGACACGATTAATACTTAACCCTTTAACGGCCTTAGGACCGTACGGTCTCCTTTCAATAAAATAGCTCCATTGGTACTAGACTCGTAACAGAAGGCGCTATTGGTGTTTGAAGCATTAGAAGTGTAGGAGGACTTAGGAAGTCACCAACGGGTAGGATAGGAACCATCAGTCGGTTCTTTAAATAAGCCCATTTTCCAGCCTAGACTTTGTTGAAGCATTGAAATAGGCGCACACAATTTAGCTCATGAAAATTTATAATTTTAAATTGTATTTTCCTCAACTTGCAGTAATTGCAATAACGGACATTAATCAGTTTCCTGTTCCACAAGTATGGGCTTGATATAAACTATTGATATAACGCTGTGAACTGTTCCTCGTTTACTTTGAGATGGTCTAAACTTGTTTCCGACTAAACCAACAAAATCGAAGATAACCAGCCTTCAAATATACAAAGTTAATTCGGTGTAAAAAGCAATTAACATGCCCAAAACAAACGCACACAGGCTTTAGGGGGAGTGAAGTTTACTGGGGTCAAACCGTAGACGATTTATGATAAGAACTGTGACCTGAAAATCGACCAGCCAGTTAATGTCTAACCAATAAGATAGAAGAGGACAGATATCTGACTAACAGTTTCTCTCCTCCTTCTCCTAATCTAAAAGGTGACAAAATTTACGATCGTAGGATTGTACAAGCAAGAGTTAGTGAGAGATTTAGTCACATCCAGACACCCATCTTATTTTTCCTCACATAAACAAATTTGAGGGATTTGCAAACACCCACCCTGGTAATAAGTAACACAAACAAAGTATCTTTCTATAGCTGTAATGGGAGACTTGCTAACCACCAGCTGCCAATTTTCGTCGTTATTCAAGGAGAATACGCAAAAATACGTCAGATAGATGGATCGAATAAGGCAGTAAACTAATGCGGGTAACCTTGGGAAATAGGCCAATCAAGGATACGCGTAGGTAGAATTTCATTCCCTACCACGTATTGGAGAAAAAATTTTTTTTCAAATGATTCACGAGAGTTACTTCGTTTTTGCCTCTCAAAACGACAGTTCTTAAGTCTGGAAATTTAACAAAACCAATAAATAAACTAAATAAAAACTTAAAGTAGTAGACCTAAGCAGATTAATCATAATATAAATTGTGGTCAGTTCAAGACAGAACGACCTGGAATGCATTTTATTTTGATATCAAAGTTTTAAAATAAATTAATTACCTAGTCTGTGTATAGCTAACTTTTTCGCAACACACCTTAAGTATCATAGTTGGGACAAAAACGCTAACAAACAGAGCACATGAGAGTAAAGCACAGTCTAATAAATGTGAATCCGCGACTAATCGTCATTTCATTTTCTTATTACTTAATAATACGTTAAACCAAATAAGCTTACTTCAGTTATCAATTCATTAACAAAATATACTTAATAAGGCGTGGGCATTTAAAGATCGATCATTTTAGCCAGTTCAATCAAACGTTATTCCTCCAATCAATAGC